GTTAATTTGATATATATATATATATATATATATATATATATTAAGTTTTATAATATTTTTAAATTTATATTTTATTCAAAAATAAAAACATTATCGCATTCTCAAAGTCACATAAAACCGTATTATATCGACATACAAAAAGAATAAAATGAAACACTGAAAGCGAGATGTGTTCGATATATTGCACGAGTACCATTCTAGATTATAATACGATTTCATCTAGTTTTGAGAAAGCAATAATGTTTTTATTTTTGAATAAAATATAAATTTAAAAATATTATAAAATTTTGAAAAAAAATATATACCGATATCAGTATTAAGTTAACCTTTTAGTAAATTATTGTATTTTGGTGTAATTTTCTTAATTCAATTTTTTAATTATAATTTAATTTAGGTTTAAGTAACAAAGAAATTTAATTTAAGTTTTATAATATAATTTTTTATAAAGATAATAACTAAAGTATTCTGTTAGAATTCAATAATATCTTAATTATATTTTAGATTTTTTATATTTAAAGTGAGATGTTTATCCAATATTTGATTATGTTTATCTGCAGTTAGTTACACGAATTCAAATATGAAGCTTTAATAAATTGTACTTATACACAATTTACTTGTAAGCATATACTTTAAGTAATATGCATTAATAAATAGTATTTCGTGCATAAAAATGGTTTTTAAGAGTTTTTGTCAAATGCTTTATAATATACTAGAATGGTACTCGCACAATACAGCGAGATACATATTTGTTTTAATGTTTCGTTTTATTCTTTGTCTCTGTTGTTATAATACGATTTATGTGGTTTCGATAAAGATAATGGTTTTATTTTTAAATAAAAATAAATTTGAAAAGATATCATAAAAATTTGAAAAAAATACCGACATTAATATTAAATTAATTATTTAAAATTTCTCGTTTTTTTATAATTTCTATAATTCAATTTTTTATTATAATTTAATTTAGATCTGATAGGAAAGTAATGACTTAACAATATAATTTTTATTTTAATTCCGGTTTATCTACTTCTATCCATGTCAGATATATTGGGTCATATGGGATTTCCCCGTTTTCTCCCCAATCGAGATATCCTCGGGACTTAACCCAACACCTTACGGCACGAGCTGACGAATATTGGATTTTCCGTTATTTAAATCGCGTAGCTGGATCCTCCGGAACCACAAGAATCCTTAGGCAGTAAGGGTCGGAGAAGGGCAATCACTCCCAATTCCTACAGTGATGAATATGAGCGCATAATGATTCTATTAAAACTCAATGATTATTCTAATTATATTTTAGATTTTCTATATTTGAAATGAATGTTTATCCTGTATTTGATTATGTTTATCTACAGTTAGTTACACGAATTTAAAAATGAAGCTTTAATAAATTGTACTTACGTAAAATTACTTTTAATTTTGAAGTTTAAGTAATATATATCAATAAAATGTATTTCATGTATAAAAATGATTTTTAAGAGTTTTTATCAAATGCTTTATAATATAACTTGAAGGGTACTCGTGCAATGCATCAGACACATTTTCATTTCAATGTTTCATTTTATTTTTTTATTCATGTCGATATAATACAATTTTATATGATTTTGGGAAATCGATAATGTTTTTATTTTTAAATAACATATAAATTTGAAAATATCATATAAAATTTGCAAAAAACATATCAATATTAATATCTAATTATCTAATTAAAAGTTCTTGTTTGTTTATTTTTTTGATTCAAAATTTTTATTATAATTTAATTTAACGTAAAGAATTAACTTAATTTAGGTTTAATAATATTTTTTTATAATGATAATAATTAAGTATTCTGTTAGAACTCAATAATTATCCTAATTATATTTTAGATTTTTTATATTTTAAAATGAGATGTTTATTATCTATTTGATTATGTTTATCCGCAGTTAGTTACACGAATTCAAACATATAGCTTTAATAAGTTGTACTTATGCACAATTTACTTGTAATCTTGAATTTTAATTAATATGCATTAATAAATAGTACTTTATGCATAAAAAAATGTTTTTAAGAGTTTTTGTCAAATGCTTTATAATATAGTATAGATATAGGTATAAAGATAATAACTAAAGTATTATGTTAGAACTCAATTATATTTTAGATTTTTTGTATTTAAAATGGTATGTTTATCCAATATTTGATTATGTTTATCTGTAGTTAGTTACACGAATTCAAATATGGAGCTTTAATAAGTTGTACTTATGCACAATTTACTTGTAATCATAAATTTTAAGTAATATGCATCAATAAACAGTACTCGTACATGAAAAATGGTTTTTAAATTTTTTTGTCAAATACTTTATAAGATAATATAGATATAAAAGAGTGATACAATAACATGACATGTTGTAGATAAATATATATGATTGTATATGATCTAAAGTACAACGGTTTTAACTTAAAAGCTTCCTTTATTCAAAATGCTCCAATTTAATACTTGCATCTTCGATAACCTACCAAAATCAAATTCAAATGTTAATCAACCAATAGTAAGGGTGTTTGGGATTGTTTATAAAAACAACTTATTGACTTATTTTGGTATGACACCGGTAATAAGCATTCTTGAGTGTTAGGATAAACAGCTTATACCGGTGCCAAACCGGTAATAATTTTTTTTTTAAAAGTTAAACCATTTTAACTTATAAAGACTTTTGTAGAAAAGCATAAGTTGTTTCAAATAAACAATCCTGAACACCCCTAAAGTATTCGAAAATATAAAGCATCTACTCATACTTGGATTGCTTGAAGTTATGGCTCCGGTTTGCCTAAAATCGCAATCATATTCATGTCGTCCAGTAGCTTGGTAATAGACATTCATTGCATAAGCAGCATGGGCTCGAACCGAGTTGGGGTAAAAACATCTCCCACCTTCACGTATGGGCTGACAGTCGAACCCCAAACCGCATACGTAATCAATATTCATCTGCAAAACGTCCTCATTGGCTCCGGTTTTTGGAATACACCAAGTTTTTCCTCCATCCGTTCTCGGCACCGGTGACCTCACCGGTTTTCCTCTCACCGGATTTCGATAGGACGGTGATGCGGACCCCTCCTGCCATAGTCAAGACCATTAAAACAAATTAAATCAAAAGCCCGTAAGTTAAAATAATATATTCGACCTAAAAAGCCAAAAATATACCGTGTGTCTTAAGATGCCAACTTTATAAACGGGTGTCATATTGGGCTGGAAAAGCCCGAAGTTTCTTTCGGAAATCGGGCCAGGCTTTTGATTTTCGTTGAAGAGTGCGAAAATGTAAGTCTCAAAAGTTTTGTTGGGCATAAGTGGTGTACCGATCCCTGACATAACATGTTTGATGAGTTTGGCGTTGAATTCTTGGGCACTCTCCGTATCAACACCGGTTTGGCCGGGATCACCTTTCGACGGCCACCCAGTCTCGGCTATAATGATCTCCAGATCCCCAAAACCCAGTTGCTTCATGGCTGAATACGTAGCATCCAATTGGGCATCCAACATATTGGTGTATTTTCGGTCAGTCATTTCGTCGAGCACCCCGGAGTTGGGTCTAAACATGGCGTAATCCAGTGTGTTACCGGAGTATCCGAAGAATGGGTAGGGGTTAATCATGAATGGTGAACCTGTGGCTCGTAAAAAGCCAAGTAATTGTTTGATTACTAGAGCCACATTCCCTTGTTTAAATGTCCCAGAAGAGGGTGGGCTTGAAGACGAGAGTATGGCTAATGAATGCGGTGTCGAGACCTTGATCCTCCGGTCAAGATCCTCCCCGATTAAAGCTGCGTGGAGGGTCTGCATCGCCGGAACAAGGCTTGACACTACGGAGTTGTCGGTGGTGGAAAGGACTTCGTTCCCGACGACGATACGGACTATGTTGGTGGCTGGAATGTGAGGAACGATATTTGTTTTGACCCACTGTTGAGAGAAGTTGAGATTTGCGAGATTTGGGATTAAATTGTTGGGGACAGCAACAGTAATCGCTATTCCGGTGTGAGCAAATGCTTGTAGGATTTCCTGGTTGGTGTCGTAGAGCTTCACACGGTTGATAATGGTGGAATCAAGAAGGAAGCGCGCCACTTGTGACGGCGGAGGTAAGTTGTCCGCCACCGTGCCATAGTTTACACCGATGCTCCCTTGGACTCCTGATAACCAATAACTTGTTAAACTATAGAGTAAACTACAAATTTGGTCTACGTGCTTTGTCAAAAATAACACTTTTAGTACTTGCAGTTTCTAGATTATAAGATGTCATCATGGTTTGTAAAAACGTCTGGATTTGGTTCATCTTTTTAACGGAAAACTCTATTAAATAAAAGACATTTTTCATTCTTTTATCGATTTTTTGTATTTACTCAATCAAAATCAATATAGCTCCACTTGAAAATAGGTTTCTTTTTTTCAAAAAATCAAACTAACTTGTTTTATTTTATTACCGATATACACATACCTCGAATTGAAAACAACGTAAGAAGTGGTAACAGTATCGTTAGGGCTTTCTCCATCTGGGTTGGGGGTGGGGGTGGGGATGGGGATGGAAAAGATGAATGATTCAAATCCAAAGGGGGATATATAATTAAGAAGAGTGGATGAAAGAGATGCTTTTCTTTTTAGGTTCAATATACAAAGTTATTAGAGTGTGGTTTAGGGCAAAGATCTATTTCAATCTCTTGACTAGGAATAAATATACCTTGCCCACAACACTAAATCTTACACACATGTTTTCTTTTTACCATATGAAAAAAATATGATGATTTATAAAATATACAACAAATCTACCCCATCCATTTGTAGAGCAGGGAGAGAGAGGCCATGAATCACTACTAATTTCGACATCCGAGTTCCAGTCTTGAATCCTCGTTGATCGTTTTATTTACACACAGCTTTTGAAGGTCGATGTACCCAATAATCGTGTCCTCAAACACCACATCTTGCAGTTGAGCTTCTTCGAATGTGGAACCGGATAGTACAGTGTTTTTAAATGAAGCTCCCTGAAGGTTGGCCTTCCCGAAGTTGACTCGATCAAGAACTGCATTCGTAAAATCTGTACCTGCAATGCCAGTTGTTGGTCAAGAGTCAGACAGCACCATGGAAATCTTTGTATTTAACAATCTCAACATTTGAACTTGTATTTCTTTTCGTGTGTAATAACTAATCAGAATGAAGATGCAATCTTTAGGTCGTCTTGACTCGAGTGACGAAAGAAATGGGAAAAGGGAAATGGAAATGAGATGACCTTTTTGAGGAAGATCCAAATAAAGAATCATTTAAACATAATAGCTCAAAATGATCGAGAATAAAAGTATAGGAATAAAGACATCCTCCAAGAAAATCCAATCAAGTATCATCAAGAAAAAGGAATCTGGTGAACAATTCTCTCCATGGCCTATAGTTAATAAACCACAATCTATGCTATCTTATAATGCATTTAGGCAAAACTTTTATTGTTCGTCAAAGAATCCTAGTGTTAGTTTCGACTTTTTACACCAACTGGGGATTTGGTAATAAATCTAAGAAATTAATCCATAGAACAACTACCCTCTGGAAAAATAGTATAGCATCAATTAAGCATCAAGCATAAATCACTAAAATAGAAAGAAAAGAACACAATCTAGCATATTTAGCCATTTATGTACATGTATATATGGTTAATAGTAATTTCTATTTTATTTAAACATAGAATTTGGATTTTCATTTTTAAAGGGGAATTGCATTGATTTTCATTCTCGATTTTACAATAAAATTTTACATCCTGCTGCATCTACGGGGACACAACTAGCATGCATGTAAACATGCCTGACAGGCGATAAGTTCTTATGATTCTATTAGCATGTGAACCAAGCCGGTTAACCATAAGGAAGGAAACACGAAGTGAAAGGTGTTTGTTACCTTTAAAGCTTGCTCCAACAGCATAAGCCTTAGACATGACAACCTCAGTCATATCTGCGCCATCAAATATGGCACCAGACATAAGTGCTGCTGCAAGAGACTTCCCCTTAAGGTTTGTCTTTTCATTAGTGTAGTCACAAAAACGGAGATCAATCGCCTTATCATATACACCATTAGCTTGACCTATTGTGTTTCCAACAAATGCACGTGCACATCGGTCCGGATCTGTGGACAAAGGAGGCAGCCTCTGCAAATCAAGTATGAAAACAGAAATGTGAAGTGTGCTAAAAGTCTAAACCCCTCCCTCAATCCCCAAAATGGAAGGGGAAACATTGGTTTTGCTACAAGTTGGATGCCAATAAATTTCACTTCTATTATTTGGTATGACGGTTTTCCTTTACTTGCTACTATTTATAATATTGTTGCTGCCTTTTATCTGATTTCTCAAATTTTAGCATATTTATCTCTCTCTTTCTAGTTGTATTGTTGTTCCCTCTTATCTAGCTTTTCCTTTTAGCATATCTGTGTTTCTTCCTTTTTAGGGTAGAGACCTCCCTCCTCCCACCCCCAACGAAAGAAAAAACTCCAGGTGGGATATACTAGGCCCACTTCTCTCTGTGGTCTCTAAGATCATAGAAATCGAGTATATCAGTCAATGGGCAGTCTTAAACATGATAAACATAAGCACTGAACCTGATTAGCAGCGATTACGGGTGAGGTGGTAGTCAGAGCCCATACGGCAAGAAAGCCACAAGCTATATTCCTTAGTTCCTTGAACTGAGATGAGTTTTCTTTAGGCGTGGAAATAGAATTATTTGTATTAGCTGCAACCAAAAACAAGCAAAGCGGATAGTAATTTGTCAGCAATCTCAAGAGGATAACGAAACTATGAATTAGTCAAAAAGAAGTTACAAAAACACAAGAAATTGAAAGCATTCACCCAAGTGCCTAATTTCCCAGTGTTTCAAGCGAAGTTATAGAGGTTGTTTTTATAGAATTTTTTTTCATTTATATTGAAAAAGCATAAATTGAAGGTACATGTACTAGAGGTTGTTAGGCATCAAGAAATCCACTCCTTCCGTCCTATGAAAATTGCAACAGTTTTACTTTACAAAAATGTTTTCTGAAAATTGCAACATTTCATTTTTGGAAAATATTGAGTTGGGCTCACAAGATTCCTCTATAAGGAATCTAACAACTTTCTTGAACTGTAAGCGCCAAGTAAAAAGTATTATCATGCAAAAATTTCTCATCAAACTGCATATTTCATTAGCTGATCCAAACTCGAAGAAACAAATTTAAGCATATATGAAGAAACCAAAATCGAAATCAGCACCCTAATTATCCATTGACTCGTTCAACTTCATGTTTCCATTATACAGGCTGTATAAGTTAATTACCCAATGGATTTCCTTAAGTAATTTTAATACTCATCAACACTAATACCGGTAAAAGACGCACAACAGTTTGTATATACATTACAAACCATGTCATATATCACAATACTCCCTTTGTTCCAAACCAAAAGCTACATTCTGATTTCAATATCAAACCTAGATCGTTCAACATGAAATTGATTGCAAATTAACAACCACCATGTCCATCATTCTATTTGATATACACATTGTAAAATTAACGTGGCTGGCGAATTTGATCTATATTAAACAAACGGAATCTCCATACAAACAAAAGTAACTTGTTCGATTTCTGGAGTCAAAGTATGCATCAGTAGAAATTTCCAAATGAATAGCAACAGGAACACAAGAAAGCAACAAAATTGAATCAAATTTTGAATGCGTGACCAGAAAACGACGACATTTGCACCAAATTGAGGCTAAAATAAACAGCATAGTCTTACCGGAGCAGTTGACACGGATCGATGAATGAAGGTGAAAAGGAAGGGGGAGACGGTTACGTTTGACGGTGGAGGAGAGTCCCGGAGAAGAAAGGTTATGCGAGAAAGGAAGGAAAAGAGTCGCCATTTTTGAGCGTTCAAATGTTTTGTTATTGCTGCCTGCTAGTGAGAGCTATTATCCATCCGCCCACGATCTTCTGGATTTCATATCTTTTTCCGACGTGGCATGACAATTCATTTGCTTTCCTACAAAATAAAATCTTCAATTGTTTTTTAGGAGTATTTAGATTGCATATAAAAATAACTTATTGACTTATTTTGGTGTGTCACCGGTAATAAATAATTTTGAGTATTTGGATAAACAACTTATACCGGTGTCAAACTGATAATAAAAAGTTTTTAAAGAAGAAAAACTTTTCTAACTTATAATAAGTTGATAAGTGCTTTTATAAATAAACATAAGTCATTTTAAATAAGCAATCTCAAACATCCCCTTAATCTAACATCAAATATCGAGTAAGCAGTTAAGTGTTATTTTGGTTTATCAAGTACCTCTCATGTAAATTGTATCATAACAATAATTCAGATATCTTTTTATCTATATCTATACTACCTTATAAACCAGATTTATCAAAAGTCTTAAAAATAATTTTTAATGCACAAAGTATTATATATTTATGCACAAAGTCTTAAAAGTTTTAAAAACAACTCATAATGCATTAAGTACTACTACTTTATGCATTCAGTCTTAAAATCTCTTAATCTACAATTAAAATAACATATAATGCAAGTTACCAATGCACATTATTACTTTTTTTTTTCATGTTTCTAAGATACTTTTGACATCTTTCACTAATGTCTTCACCCTCTCATACCTCTATATATTCTTCTCATCCCCAAATGTAAGATTCAAACTGATATTCACCATGACATTAAAAGTTCTCTCATTCAATTACTCTGGAACTCTCGCTCTCGCTCTCGATCTTTTGATTATTTGTTCTTGGTGTAAATCGAACACTTTTGTGGAGTCGTTTACATATGTTAGATTTTAAATATGTTGGATTTTAAACTGTCATACAATTTTTTTTTTTTCATCGATAGACTGTAATTGGAACCATAACTCTTATTCATTCAAATTATAATAATATATAAAGACCAAATGTAACTTATATCATCATCAAATCTTCTCTAATAAAACCAGTGAAACTTCAAAATTATTAAAATTCACAGCTCTCACCGTATTGTACGGATACACAACTAGTTTTCTTCTAAGTTCAATATTTCATTGTTTTTTACTCTTTTTATATCCTAAAATTCGTACTATCCTTTATTAAAAAAATAGAAATTAGTAATCTTGATAATAGATTTTATTCCTTTTTGTCTAGCAGTTGCTTATAATATAATATAATATATAACTAGATTATTATTTTTTTTTTTAATAT